ATTCCAACGTCATGATTAATCATAGTTAAATTAAGGACAGGATGTTTTTTTGATGCAACCAAAGTTAAAAGTACTGTGAGACACAATTTCATGACAAAACAAGTTAATATGTTGGTATACCTGTTTTCTTTACCTCTATAATATATAACAAGCTGCTATACCCGTGCTTTGCAACGGGAAGAAAATGTGACCTAGAGAGACAGCTATTCAAGTGGTGCTGATGTGTGTTTTAAAATACAGCAACTCTATGATTTAGTTTAAAAATATAAACTGATTTAAAAGTGTAATCCTACTTTCAAACCCCTTACTTTTGATGTTAATAGATCCAAAAGAACATACCTCCATACGGACACATACCTTAGCATCAATTTCTTCATATTGCTGCTTCATGAATGACATGTTTTACCATAATTCTTCAATTTTATTAAAGCCTCTTTCCATGTAGCTTACTATATAGATTACAAAATAAAAACTTTGAGCAATACTTAAACAAAACTTATACAACCTTTCTTTAAAACCAAACATAACCCTCCTCAATCTTCATTTTTCTAGTAAATAAACAAACACCAATTCATTGTGCGCACTGACCAGCTGTTTCATGAACTAAATTGAATTATATCATTTCAACTTTGGAAATATGCCAGGGGTAGCCCTTTGGAAATTAGCCTGTGGGGCAGAGCCCTTAGGAAATTCGTCCATATCAATACTTTTCGGCAAATCTACACACTATAAGCTTCATTTTGATGTGCCATATGCCTATATTTTCATTTGGTGAATGACATTAACCGTTTACAGAAAATTTGATTGTATCACTTTAATAATATAACAAGCTGCTATACCCGTGCTTTGCAACGGGAAGAAAATGTGACCTAGAGAGCTATTAAAGTGGTGCTGATGTGCGTTTTAACCCTAGCAGTGGCCAATGTTAGAAGTGGGGAATGGCCAACCCATTTTGGCGATTTTGCAGACCATTTTTTGAAAATTCGTAAAAATTCAACCGTACAAGTAAACCTAGCCAACCTCATATTCATTTTGTTCGGAAAGAACAGGAGAATCTAGAAATAGTAATATCATAATGATTTAGACAGTGTATTTTATCGGTAAAGTGAAAAAAATAAAAAAATTTGAATTTTTTTTTTGAAATTTCAAAAGCGGCCTCTGCATTTTTTTTCTACGGATTTTTTTATGGGAAATTCATTATATACATTTTGTAGACAATCTAATTCCCTACATAGAAATATATAACATGTAAGGAAAATATTTTTTTTTATAAGTTTTTGGGGCGAAATATAATGACAAACGGAGAACCGAAAAAATTGAAAACCGTACAGTGTTAGTTTATGTTGTAAAAAGTTTTATAATATATGTGTATACTAATAATGATATATACATGTTTGTAAAGCTAATGAAGTAAGGAATCAAAAAAAGTCATAAAGTTTATGGTAAAAATAATTTTTTACCTATAAACATACGTATATAAAATAATGTTTTTATATTTTAGCGATTTCTCGAGAAAAAAAATTCACAGTACTTAGTATACAACTTTTGTACCAAATTTTTTTACTTCAAACCAACATAATAATCTTGTAGTGTATTCAATTACCTACATAAAAATGTATAACATGTTAGAAATATTTTTTTTGTAGGTACATAATAGGGACATAATAATACAATAACCGCAAAACCGCAAATAAGTGTAAACTATAGCCTACAGTGTTTGCTTGTGTTGTGAAACATTATGTAGGCTGATGATATGTAGCCTACATATTTGTAAAGCCAATGAAGTAAGGAATCCAAAAAAGTCATAAGTATGATGGTAAAAAGTTATTTTCACCTATGATTATGTATCAATTTGAGAACGTTTTGAATTTTTTGCGCATTTCGAGAAAATGGAGTATACAGTATTTAGTAGCCTATATAATTTTTTACCAAATTTTTTACACCCAAACCAATATAAACATGTTGTAGTGTATTCATTTACCTTTATAAAAATGTATAACACCTTGGGTAAATCATTATAAGCACCTCTGAATGTCAGAATTTTCATTTTTGGACATGATGCTAACAAAATACAGTAGTAGGCCTATTTAGTATAGTATAGGCTATAACTTTTTTACAAAATTTTTTACCCCCAAACCATTATAAACATGTTGTAGTGTAGGCCTATTCATTTACCTTTATAAAAATGTATAACACCTTGGGTATATCATTATATAGGTACAACAATCTCTGAATGTCAGAATCGTCATTTTAGGACATGATGCTAACAAAATACAACCTTTTATGAACACTATTCCACACAATTCAGTAATATTTATGCATGAAGATAACTGTTATACACACACACAACACTTCACTTACACTAACACTACGAAATAATAACATATTTCGTAATAAATCGCGGATAAAACTATTGCAAAAACACAAACAAACAATGGCAATACAAGACAGCTGATAGACTGTAGCAGTAATGACTCACTTCCGTCGTCTACATGCGAGCATACAGAAATAACCCTGAGTGCAGGGCTGCCACTCTCTGAATCTAAATTTCTTCCTCTTCAAAATGATATACTATATGACTAGTAATAATAACTTTCACTGTATATAATTCGTATTTTCCATACTGTCACCAGACGACTGTTGGCCATTTGTTAGAAATTTCGAAAACAGCTGTTTTCATAAAATTGTACCGATTGTGCAATCAATATTTAGTTATAAATATCACTACCACAATGAAGATAAAATCAATGGCTATCCAGTGGTATCACCCGCAACATCCCAAGACGAAAATTACGCGAGCAGGGTAATGCCAAACAAGACGTGTTTTGCCAGTTCCCAAGGGTCGGCTGCAAAAGTCGTACCGCGCCAAAATTTCATTTGATTTCTAATCGTCGTGACATTGTTATATACCTGCTACAGTGTTTGTTTATGTCATCAAATGAAAGTTCAGAATGTGATCTTTCGAATGGTATATATATTATTCTAATCTGAGTTAATTGTAAATGTTTTTTACCGTTAAAAAAATTTCGGCCCATACCGTAACCAGACGACTTTGGCCATTCTAAGCATCAACGTCATACCGTAACCAGACGACGGTTGGCCACTGCTAGGGTTAAAATACAGCAACTCTATGATTTAGTTTGAAAATATAAACTGATTTAAAAGCGTAAACCAACTTACTTTCAAACCCCTACTTTTGATGTTCATAGATCCATAAGAATATGACAACATACCTTAGTGTAGCAATAGTATCAATTGCTTCATATTGATGATTCATGAATGACATGTTTTACCATAATTCTTCAGTAGTCAAGCCTCTTCACATGTAGCTTACTATATAAATTAAAAAATGAAATTTTGAGCAATTACAAAACGTATACTACCTCACTTTAAAACCAAACATAACCCTCCTCAATCTACATAAAGCATAACAAACATTTTTTCGAGTAAATAAACAAACACCAGTTCAGTGTACTGACCAGCTGTTTCATTAACTAAATTAAATAAATCATTTAAACATTGGAAGCATGCGAGGCCCTTTGGAAATCAGCCTGTGGGGCAGAGCCCATAGGAAATTCGTCCATATCAATACTTTTCGGCAAATCTACACACTCTGAGCTTCATTTTGATGTGCCATATGCCTATATTTTTATTTGGTAAATGACCTTAACCGTTTACATAAAATTTGATTGTATCACTTTAATAATATAATAGATAATAGATAATAATAATTTCTGTATATATATGGAATTATTATTGTACTGCTCTTATAATCTGTTATTTACTGTGATGTTTTGCAGCGTATCCTGAAGGACAAAGAGCAGCTGCCAGCCGCCAGAGTGTACCCTACCAAGGGCCAAGTGATCTGGATTTTGGACCAACCTGCTGCCTCTCTCCTTTAGTAGCCACACACACACACAATTGTCTACGGTGCTTTAAAATATAGTGAGAAACTCGTACTGAACATTTTTATACTCAAGTGTTAAATTTTGATCCGGATCAATGGACTAGTCATTCCTTTACATTCCACATTTTTAACCCATAGCAAACTTGTATTTTAACGGTTTTATGCAATATTAACTTATATTTTATAGTCTATGTTTTGTTGGAATCTTTTATATTTATGTTGGTAAAATAAATGGTTGATTACAATTTGTTTTTGTTTTGTACCAAGTGCAAAAGTTGAACTCCCCAAGTATGGAGAAGAGATATTTCAAGCTGTACAAATTCCTCAGCACATTCTACTTCTGTAAATTAATCTTATAAAAAATCTCTTCATAAATCCATGAAATAGGCCTGATATATCAGGTCATATCCCATATATGTGTATCTTTCTTTCACATACTATGTAGAATAAACAATCAATCAGAAAGAAAGGCCAATGATTGATAATGATTATTAGTATGTAATTTTGGGCCGCAGTTACATGGCGATCTTTCATTCCTCATTTTAACCTACATTATACTCACCAAAGAATGAAAATGATCAAACGCTGTTAACGGCTTGTGTAGAATATTCTTTCTCTCATTTTACGTTGATATGATTATGAGATCTGGACCCTGCAAAGACTTCCGGGAGTAAGACCAATGAAAGGGTCACCAAAAGGAGGTGATTATATTGCAAAGACTGTTTTCCAAAGATTTTTGTTTAAGGAGATAGTTATGAAAGGGTAGTCTCAAGAAGCGTCAAGGCTTATTATACTTCTTTGATAAAGCCTCCTTGCATCTGTGAGAGACATTTTTGTTCAAAATAGGAAGCCAAGAAATAGGAATGGCATCAGCGTTCCAATTCCTTAATATTTGGAAAATAGAAAATAATTAAAGACAATGAATGTCTTTCTTTGGAAAAAATTAGGTTTTGTTGATTCTCTAATTATACTTTTAGCATAAACTTTAACTGTTATTTACGTGGAATGGCACAACAGTTATTAAACAAAACTTATCTAAGTTTGACTAGATCTTAACGAGATATTAACGGAAATAATGAAATGAACATACTAATCACTCATTAGCATATTAATATTTACAAACCTATATAAATGCATATTTAACATATATTAAGCACTATCTGCTTAAGTTATACTTAGTGTAAACTAACACTGCTAAAGTAAATCCTACAAATGAAGTCTTAATCAAAACGCTTATGTTAACTTTTCTTATATCATGTATTTTACAACCTTGTTTGCTGTGATAGTTTTGCAATGTGCTGGATCTTATTTACCACCAAACAGTCCACTCAGCTGGTTTTGAAACCACTGGAAGTTTTGCTGAAGTTGCTGAAACTGCTGCTGGGCCGCCAATTCTTGCTGAGCCAGCCAATCTTTCCATTTCTGCTGCTCCTTCTTCAATTCAGAAATTTTGTCACGCACCTGAAGAAAAAGTTTTCCACATTATTTCTTTAACTAAAAATTGAAAAGTTTATAGCTTCCCAATAAGGCTAATGAGTAATTAAGAAGGTTCCTTTTCATTATGTTTGGGAAGTTCTAAAGAATTTACATAACTATAAAGCTTGGTCTGTTATTATGACAAAACATTGAAAACCCATGTGCTGAATGGTTCTCAACTGTTTTGAAGGAAAACTTTTAATTACAGGCTAAATTATAACATTTGTAGCTTTTAATTTGTTGTATTTTATTTGTTGAAAAGTGTGATCAATCTTCCACCTTTAAACCTCAATACTTTTATAATCAATAAAAGAAACATCTTAACTCGTCAGATTTTTCATATCATTCCAGAAAAAAAGACAGCTTTGCCAACACACATGAAAATTGTATGTGCTCTATGAGCTTTGTATTCTATTCTGGTAATTTGTCATACCTTCTGGCACTCTTCTTCATTTATAACTTCTGAAGAGCTTGAGGTTTTTCCATCCTGTTGTGTAAATACTTCCTTTTCACATTTTTTGTCCGTGAGGTGCACCAAAGTCTGAAATTTTAGATACTGTTTAAGTGTAAATTCAAAAATCAAAAAGCACACCCATCAGGCCTATTAGTAAAAGCCTTAATTGTATACCAAAATGTTTATACTGTAAGTAAGCATATGATACAAACCCTTTACATCTCAGTTCTAAGGTTCTATCAGGAAATGTTAACACTATTTAGCTTATGTTATGGTACTTGATCCTGGCTCTTATGGCGTTGTGTCCTGATTGGATATTTTATGTAGATATGGTGATATGTTTCAGTTTGAAAAGTACGTCACATTTACTTTACACATAGGGACATTAAAAGTCATATGTAAGCATGTGGAGAGGTGGTAATGGTGCTGGTAAACCCTTGGCAGAGTAGCCGGCCGTTATCTCTTGAGTGTATGTAGAGTGGTTGTGATTGTGATAACCGATTAACCGTTGGTGTTAGCCGAGGGTATCATCACACTGTCCGCTGTATTTTATATTTGTAGTAGGAGGATTATTTCACCTAGATTGCATACTAACAACTACTTTTTTCAGATCGGAAGGCTAACCCAACAGCGCACTTGGAGGGAGGGTTAACATCGCTTCCCTAAAGACCTTTTGACCAAGAGGACCTGAAATGCCAAGAGTTTAATAGAATAGCCTGTTTCTGACCCCTATGCCTATTGGATCACGGCCGGTATACCCTGTTTCCTTTGGGGTCATTGAGTGAGGGAGTGAGGCCTTGCTATGTCAGCAGGATGATCAAAGATTCCCGAGGTGGACCAAAACACCTGCAACAGAGAACTCTTGCATTCTCTTTCTGGAGACACTGATTAGGCCTTGTGTGGTCAAGAACGATGGGTTAATGAAAGAAGAGGATCTTGAATTAGGAACGCTGCACGGCCCAATGGGCTCAGTCTCACTGGCCATTTCCCTAGACCACTCAGGCATTGAAGTGATTAAAGAGATGATGGCAAACAAGAGACTCCAGTAAAGCCAAGCCCCACCCTCCCAGAGCTCAACCATCCTGAAGAGATTGTCAACCCTGGCACCAAGGAGGTCTCTCTTAAATAGAGTGGCCTGGGCCATCAGGCGTACCGTTTGTGCAACTCCTCTGGGAAAGGCTTTTCAAGCATTCTGTCGTAAGGAGAGAGAGTGAGAGAGAGCAAATGAAGATCTCAGAAGAGAGATCCCGGAAGAACTGAGCCCAGACCGTCAGCAAGTGGTGTAATGAGGGATCAGAGAGGTGGTTAGACCCCCGAACGCCGTCATAAGTGACAAATTTGTCAGAGCAGGTGCAGATGTGTCCAGAGTCCAAAATGACATTGATCAGGCCTGGAGATCTCAGCCCGGCCTGACGACACTTCAAGATGTCGTCAGCCACGTGAAGAATTGGGTGTGATGAGGCCCACCAGCAGTCTGTCCTCCAACTCCCGTCGACCAATAATTAGTCTGCCCCATATGTGGAGGCTTAGATATCAAGACATTGTGATGGAAGACCTACGGAGGATTCTGTCAAAGGCGGAGCAAGCTAAGGGGCTTCTGCACAATTAGAGAGGGACCTACATTAGAGAGTGGAACTGGGGAACAGATGTCAGAGACCTCGACAGCACTGGCGGAATCTCAAGTAGATTTGATGATGTTTACAAGTAGAAAAAGGTGCTGACCTCAACTCCAGCCAAGATCCATAGGTTAACAAAAACCGTCTCAGCCAGGTAAAGCACACAGTATTAAAACATTCATATATTGAGAATTTGCTGATGCTGTGGAGGTTTTTAAATACAGTTTAATCAGAGCGAGAATATAGTAACATTCTTGAACTTGGATTATGCTATTTAGAGTAAAGGTTATAGTTTTAAATCTTTAAATCGATGATTCTGACCTTCGGTTGATCGCTGAACCACTCGTTGCCAACGGCAAGCCCGCTTTTTAAGTTGATGATGTCAACTGGTGCTTTACCACAAGGATACTCGGCCTTCTTGTCTATGCCGTTACCGAAAATTTTCAAGTTGGCCACACATTGCTCATTGACTTGGGACTCTGTGACAGTCACGGTGATCCCATTGGCTGAAGACTCAACGTGACTGCTGGACTGAACGTGATGTTGACCTGAAATTGTGTGATTAAATCTTTTGCAGAGAGAATTATTCAAATGATTTTAAGAAACTACAAATTTTCAAACTATGGATATTTCAGGGAACTACCCCATATCAAAGTTGCTGGTGTTGCAAAAGAGTTGTTAATTTCTAGACTGTCCTCAACATTTATCTAAACACGCCCCAGTTTTTGTTGCAAAAGAGTTGTTAATTTCTAAACTGTCCTCAACATTTATCTGAAAACGCCCGAGTTTTTTCCAAGTCTTACAAAACGCTTATGGCGATATAACTAACAAACTATTCCATGTCTATCCATGTTCAGTATTTTCATAAGACTACTTGTACTCCACTGTGAAGTATTGTTAAATGTTAAAAACGTCTTGTTACCACTAGAGCTGGAGCTGGAAGTCCCTGTTGAGGTCAGAGTCGCTGACGAAACTTGAGGCATCGGGATGGCATGGCTGAATGTCAAACAACCAACCTAAAACATGCAACCGTAGAAAACATATTTAGTTTGATTATTATATCGCATTTCTTACAGTTTGGGATATAACATTATTGTAAAATGTAAGTAGTGGCCATTTGCGTTGAAAATTACATTGAATTTGTGGATATCAAAAAAGAAAAAGTATACATTAGTTAGTTTCAGCTAAGATCTATAATTTATTGAAAATATTCCAATGTACAAAACAAAATGGTGTATGTAATGTTTACAAAGTTATAAAATATAACCATATTTCTGGCAATTTGTATAAACTAACAACTTAGTGTAGTATGATTTAAATATAAACCTATTTTTTGTGATATTATTTTGTTTTCATTTCCCTTCAACAATAATGTACGGTAACGGCATAAGTTATTAGGAATTCTTCAAAATAGTTTTCCATACATTTCGGGTATGGATGTGAAAAGTTGGCATGGACACAAAAAACACTGTTAAATGTGTATCTATATAAATAAAATTAGAGTTTTGTCTGTACATTGCTTAGAATAATGAACTTTTTGGTTATTTTTACATTTCATAGGTCAGAGAAACCGAATCAAACCTTATCTCAATTTCTGTCTGTCTGTCTGTCTGTCTGTCTGTCTGTCTATCTGTCATTCTCTTGGTAACGCTAAAATACGCACTTTATTACAACTACTCCTCAATAACTATAGCACTGTCCCGCCTGAAACTTATTTTCCAAATACTATACATATATGAGATGGTTTTAGACGTATTTCATCGAATATGAGACAGTTAGATATTTAACAGTAAACCCTTGAAAATCAAGTTTTTGTCGATTTTTGACGTGGAATTTCTGGAAGCCCATGTTAACCTTATGAGAAATGAAATTATTGAATCTTAACAGCTGTTTCAATTAAACAAGTTGGTTCTGTTCTGTGATGTTCAATAGCATTAAAGTTACAAGGATTACCAACAGGGTGCAGCACTAGCACTATTATTTCTTTTACATTTATGACAACAGCTAATTTGCAACCTGGAGGCGAGTGAGCGTAGCGAACGAGCTAACCTGAAGGCAAGTGAGCGTAGCGAACGAGCTAACCTGAAGGAAAGTGAGCGCAGCGAACGAGCTCCAACATACAGGTGAGTGAGCGTAGCGAACGAACTTCAACCAGGACGTGATTGAGCCATGCAAACGAGATCAGATAGTAAAAATAAAAGTAAGCCTACCGTTATAGGATCGACCGGCAGACACAGAGGTAATTTAACCTTTTATTGATTGTCATACCGATCCGGAACAACAAAAAACAACATAAAATGAAGCTATGTATAATAGTTTGGCCAGCATATCTTAAAATATGCAAACCAACTGCTGTTCGTTATATAAGAAGGTTTCAACTGAATATTATAAGATCCCCGTGCGTAGAACGGGTACACAGCTAGTTGTAGTATTATAAAGCTAAGCAACCTGACCTGACCCGATTGATGGACATAAAGCCACTTTATAAACTAAGACTTAATAAACACTGGATTATCGTGCTAGGTTAGGTTTGTTATATTAATGTCTCAAAATAGCGTAAAAAACGCTAATTTCAGCATATTGTTTTTACCATTTTCCCGGGGGAGAACCCCCGAACCCCCTCCAAACCTAGCAACTGTTTCAAGTACGCTCTTGCACCCCCTCCCCCTAATTTGGATCCTTGGTACGCCCTTGAGCCGTAGGTTTGTATTTCATTTCAAATGTACCTGATAACTTATAGGTAAGCGTGTATATGTTCCGGTAACACTTCATCTTATTTTACCATCTTCAACATCATAACGACTCAAATCCAGAATATGCTGATTAATGCTTGTCCCGAGGTATTTTAACCTAAAAGTAAGTAAAGTTAAGTTTAGGAAGTAGAATAAACCATCTGTGATTATTAACTACCCGTAAAATAACTCAATTGATTTTACTATACGAATTGAGTTTAGGCCTACTATGCATATGGTATATATATATACAGGGTGATCAACTCAAGGAGGCCACCATTGGGATATCGGAAACGGTAAGAATTAGAGAAAACTTTAAATGGGGGATATTCCTTTATTTTTTGTGGCATTTAAAAATATGATTTCATTTTTTCGAAAATCAGCCGCCATTTTCCAAAATGGCGGCCAACTTTGAAATTTCTTATGGAACACCCTATATTTTATCATGATTTCGGATAGAACAGGCAATTTAAAAACTTTTTTATTCTTGACATTTTTTCGATAAACCCATTCGTTTAGGAGTTACAGCCTATGGAAAAATGACTTCCGGTGTACATTTTACATCATGTAGCTCCTAACAAGTAGGTTTATAGCGAAAATGCGAAAAGTAAATGAGTCAAATAAGTCTTAAAATTGAATCCACATTCCATAAAGACCATAAAATACACAGTTTTCCACTTTTCAAGTTTGCCGCCATTTTGGAAAATGGCCGCCATTTTGGAAATAATAGAATTAATAGTTTTAACGAATTTTATGGTCTTTCTGGAATGTAGATTCAATTTTAAGACTTATTTGACTCATTTACTTTTCGCATTTTCGCTATAAACCTACTTGTTAGGAGCTACATGATGTAAAATGTACACCGGAAGTCATTTTTCCATAGGCTGTAACTCCTAAACGAATGGGTTTATCGAAAAAATGTCAAGAATAAAAAAGTTTTTAAATTGCCTGTTCTATCCGAAATCATGATAAAATATAGGGTGTTCCATAAGAAACTTCAAAGTTGGCCGCCATTTTGGAAAATGGCGGCTGATTTTCGAAAAAATGAAATCATATTTTTTAATGCCACAAAAAATAAAGGAATGTCCCCCATTTAAAGTTTTCTCTAATTCTTACCGTTTCCGATATCCCAATGGTGGCCTCCTTGAGTTGATCACCCTGTATATCGGAAAGCGGACATTCTGTTTGAAAACAACTTTGACATAAACGTTTACGAAGAACAGATGTTACGGACAATCACACAAACATGACATCGTGAGTGATATTGAGTGACGTGCCAGTGTTCTGTATTGGTTGTTCTGATATCTGATGTCAATGGTAGAAAGTGACATGTTATCAGTTAAACCCGCTCTGTATCATATCGTGTGAAGGGGGTTTGATGTCACCCATTAAAGCTGAGAGGGGTAGAAACAATTGAAAAGCATTATGGATACTAAAAATAAATACAAATCTGATAATGCAGGTCTATATTAATCATTAACAATTAAATTCGAGCTTAAAAAACCTTCGCAAATCACAACTCTGAAAGAAAAAAATTACTTTACCGCTTTGTTTGATCAAGAATGATAAGAATGAAATGGGCTACAATATTTATTAGGGAGACAAACCAGTAAAAACAAAATTAAGCCTATAAAATAGTATAATCCTCTGGTTTATGCAGGACGAAAAATACTGTACTTCACGAAACATACCCTACCACGAATAATAGAACAGAAACGGTCAGGGTCCATAATAACAACATGTTTACTTTCGGGCTAGTGATGTACCTAATTTGGTAATGTTTATATGGTTGTTTATGTTTATGGACCATACCACTAATACTGTTCCAACTGGTTACTGTTCTAATATCCTTGCAACGCAGTTTAAACGTAACCATAATGACTTTGGATACCTACTGAAAGTAAACTTTTGTTCCTATTAAAAATATGAAGTGGTTCAATGTTTTTTATCTCCTTTAAGCGCTGATGTGGACTTTCTTCTATCTGATTTTAGGGTACATTTTACAGTGAGTGCATGTTCATTCGCTTACATGGAAAGAGTATCTATATATTAATAGGCAAGCATGTTTCTTTAAAACCTTTTTTCTCAGCTCGTGTGCATCGCAGGGAAAATCTACGCATACTGTTGGAAAGATATTTTCCTGTAGATGTGCAGAATGCTTTTAAAAATTAAAATAGGCTAACAAATAAGAACAAAAGATTAATTTGAAAACTTCAAAAAATTAACATGGACCATATGGGTTGCCATGATGGTGACGAAATAACAACAAAACGTAAACAGAAAATCAAAACAAATGGAAGAAATTCCAATCACATGTTTTATTTACAGTGTGGGGAGAAAATAGAGAAGTCTGTACATTAATTATTTTTGGTCGAGTTTCGACCACAGGACGACCACTAGTAAACATTTAAAATGCAACGTTTGCTTTATTTTGATTTAAATGACTTTTCCTTCACACTACCACATAGCTGGCGAAAAAAAACTTTGTAATGTTACACCGTTCATATTTCGATCCGGGAATGCTGTTAGTTCTATATAAAAGTTCATATTCCACATATAAAATATCTCGTACATTAGTCTAGTGACACATGTGAACATTAAACAAGCCTCCAATCACAGTCCGTTGCGCAAAGCCAATTAAAATAATAACACTCAACATTAGATTGTTTCGCGATTTACTCATCCGGTTCCATTGTGAAATATTGATATGCTCACATTTTGGCCAGTTGTAGCGGGAGTAAAATTTGTTCACAACAATATAAAAAATAATGTACTATTCTTATTGATCATCCTTCTACATCTTAAATATTTCCCATGAAACTGCATTTACTCGTCTTTTGGCTGACTCAAAGATGTGTTCCCTAAATAATTACTTTGAATATATCGTTAGCCTAAAGATACCTAACAATGTACATGTTCTCGCACTGATTTGAGAAAGCAAAGTGGCCAATTCTCTCATCAGTGAGACAATCACTCTAATTACTTTGTCTCACTCACTCCAGATTTGCAACGTGAAGGCACGAAATAGTGAGCGCGTAACATGCAGACAAGGTCGTATGCGCGCGAAATACGTTGGCAGCACTGGCTGTAAATCAGCTGGTCAGCTGTTGTAGGCCTACACTGTTGTATCATTCATTAAATGCCATAGTAAAAGTTCACTTTTGTGTTAAAATGTGTTAAGTTTCTTTCCCAATTTATTTGTTTTATGGTAACTGTAGGAAAAATATTATGTGCAACTCGAGTGCAAAGTGCAATTGCCTCACTCGAGAAACCATTCCTCACTCGCCTAAAAGTTGCACAAATAACTATTTTAACCTAGTGTACTCAACATTTCGTCATTATTACCGGTCAATCCGTTTTTAAAATCGGACGTTCTATGAGTATTAGCTTTGACTATTAGTATTAGCAATTTCGTCCTTAAATAGTATGTTATAGTGGACTGAAACGCGCTTAAGAGGTTATCTTATAGATCCTACCTCTTATAGATCTACTTATATATCTAATTCTAGAGTTGATCTTATAGATTTTACTTTTGATAATTGAAAAATGCAATTGTTTATTTAAAAACATATACACTATAAAGTAAAGTGTCAAACTGTCTTTTCAACATTTAAAGCAACTGGGATTGATCAGCCTTAGTAAGCTAAATGTTAGGTACCTAAATTGCCATTTAATATTTTGCCTAATACGCCAATCTTGGAGGGAGATTTGAAAAGTAAATAAACGGTATCAGAAAACCGACACACTTTCTCCCATACACCCTTTAACAACAAACACACCTGTATAAACAACCAAGCCAGTGGGACTAACCATGATATTATATCACAAAAGTTGCAATAACCCTTGAACCGTATGTTACAGCAATGGGGACACTATTTTAGTTTAGAATTATCTTACTAATATTATAAATGTGAAAGTTTGTGTGTTTGTTTGTTTGAAGTTCAATCACTGGACGGATTGGGCTGAAATTTGGCATGATGATAGTCACATTCCCGATTAACATATAGGCATATTCTTATCTCAAAAACCCTTTCGGGCTCCACCCCAGTGGCTCTGTAGTTTCCCATTTTAACCTTAGTATTCATATTTAAAGGGAATTAAAGATTTGGGTCAGCTGTTTCAACTAAAAAGTTGGTTCTATGATAATACAAAAGCATTAAAAAGTTATAAGATTTAACAGCAGGGTGCAGCACTATGATTTACTTTGCATTTATGTAAACAGCTAATTTGAACCAAACAGCAACAAAAAACTTTAAATCACAATGAGAACTGTCAAAGTAGGATTGTTTACAGTTATGTTTATGTTTTTAATGTCATGAATAATTTGTGATTTTTTGCGAATTTTTAATAATTTATTTTTCTTTATCGTTAAGGTGAAGTGGTAGAACATTATGGCTATGGTAGATGTGTAATATCATAGTATACCGTCAATTTAAAGAAGCAAACTTTATCAAACTTTGTCCTCCCCCATTGAAAACGCAAAGCTTGAGTATAACTGCAATAAGCATTTTAAACTTATATGCCAACCCCATACGAAGGACGGGTACTCTGCTAGTAGGGACCACAAAACATTAATTTTCATCAATACCGGCTTTTCCCCTATTAAATTAATTAAATTGAATAAAAAACGAATCGGGAAAACAGCTGTAGAAAACAGCTGTTATAAATCCTTAAAATGCGTTCTACATAATCCAACATTACAAAATAACATCATAACCAGTGACATACCAGCAGGGTAATTACAGATGTTGACTGATAGTTGATCATGATGTTGATGTTGATGTTTATGTTGTGATGTTGCTCAGGTGAGGTCTTCTCGTACACTGAGCTGATAACAGAGCAACCAACAGCAAGGTCGTTTGTTATCAGCCATTTCCAGAATCGTTGCGACACACCATGAATATGTATACACTCGTACGCTGACAATACTGGAAACGTCCTGATGCGTTGTACCACTTAGGATAATGAAGTAGACATACCATATAGACCAGCTGTTGAGCTGTAACAGGTTTTTTTCAATACAAAAATGTAGTGGAATATTAGGCCCTAAACAGAATGGATCATAAACATAAACAAATGATTTCACTGGGCCGAAAGTAAGCATCATTTACATTCTCAATGCGTTTCGTTTTCAATTTTGCATTAAACATTGATGTAAAAGGAAAAAAGCTATTCGTGTATTAAGAGCGCAAAGTACGTCATTGCCATAGAGTTCAGCACGAAGCTTCAGCTGAGTGCAGCCCAGGGTTACGTGTAGCCATACATTTCGTGACATTTTGTTTGTGCTCGTAATACCCACAATATTTTTCCTACCCCTATTATTAACTTATCATAGCGCACAGATTAACTAAAGCTGTATATAAAATGTAATTTAGGTTAAGTGTTGCTTTTTAGGTTTGTTTTTTGCTTACCGTTTGTTAACGTATTGGTCACCGGATCCGCGGTTGTGGTTGATTTAGAAAAACTAACTGTGAAATCAGCTGATTTAGCGTAAGTTATCCATTTCCGCTCTAGAGCATAAATGATCCATTCCCACTCTAGGGCGTAAATGAGCTATTTTGCGTACTGTTTAAAGCTGTGACCATGTGATCATTTCCATCCATGCAGTGATAGGAAAACAATTTTGTATTGCAGCACACTCTGTTGCGATGGTCTCTCAACTGAATCGCTCCTTTAAATATTAAAACTGGCTACAAATTTGACATGGAAATGACTCGTCTACTTCACATTAGTGCATACGATGTAGATTTGAGTCAGTGTTTTTATTACAAATTATTTTGTGATTGCCATTCTGTTTTCCCTGAGTTTGTATTTAAGTGCAATGAGACAAAATGCCGTTAAAAACGTAAACTATAAATGACTTAAACGGTAATTTGTTTCTTTTAATACCTATTGAATTGATAACACCGTAATAGTTAAAAACTGATTAGTCTATTTACTGCGTTAGTGTTGACGATATAGTTTTATACAGAGGTAAATTTTATTTAAAATATATGTCAGGCAATGTTAAGATATTTGAATTTGAATAAAATCAACAAAAATATAAACACATTCGACCCAACTATTTAACAACTAATTGTACGATTCCAATTGAACCAAAGCAAACTTCAGCAAAGGAAAATATAATATTGAGTGTTCAACATAAGTTAATATTTATTCTAGACCACTTCTATTCTACACCATTGTTTGACTTGCTTTCACTAAAGCAAACATTACTTGGATTCCAGTTTGTTGGAATTATTGATCATATCACCTTTTACCACTAATTGATTTGTTACATGTAAACTTTAGTTCACCTCCAAAAAGATTTTTTATCTACGACCGGTTTTAAACTAAACTAGCCTTTCAGTTCTTATAATAGAAAAGATTCACTTTACCGCATTGTTTACTCACTTTACCGCATTGTTTTTTTTTCTTTACAGTACTAGTAACAATGAGGTTCAAGGATTGAGAGAAAAGAAGTAAAATTGTAATGTTTCGAACATCAGCTGTTAAGACCAATTTAATTGATTATACAGAGCGAGTGGTTGGTACAATGAGTCGTTGCATCAATCATCGTTCTCTATTATCCATGGCAATGAGAGGTAATAAACGAAAACATAAACTCTCGTGGAAGTTATGAGTAGTTATTGTAAGTAATTAAAAACGTTCGTAGGTAAAGTGGTGTATAGATTTCACAAAAATAGTATTTTTGCGATTGTTGCGTAAACTAAATTATTTTACATTTTGAAGACCAATCGCAGTTTGGAAAAGGAAATGTTGTTAAAACGTTTGAGAATCCAAGACCAAGACCTCCTTTTTATACATTGAATAATGTATGACAGATTACCTGCCTCTCATAGCTGATAAAAGATAACCTTGTTAGCCGAGAAAAGAGATGAAGCACCTGAGAACATTTACGATGGGTTTTCTCATTTCTTTTTGTTTTCTTTGTTGAAATCAGTCCTTCAAATTTAACTTATGTTGTCGGTACTCCATGTAAGTTATGTAAACATAATAGAGGTAATTTAACTTAGGGATGCAGTTAGAGGTAAATAAACTTAGGGATGTAGTTGATACTCAATGGAGGAAAGTATCGACTCACTTGTTAACTTACGCAGTTAGCAGTGGAGGCAGCATTAAGACAATTTTATCTGGTAATTGGTATGGATTGATGTTTCGCTTTCAATGTTTTAAGCCATGGTTTATAGTTGAACAAAACTTCTCTACAAGTTGAAATATATTTCTACTGTAAAAGTTATAGGGTTTTGTGTGAGCAAAACTCGGTAAATATGGACTGCTTTTATTTAAGGGGTTATCTCTGTCACATCCAAATTTTACTTAAATTTTACTCAAATTTTACTTGCCAAATTTACTCAACTGTTATTGAATAACTAAATGTCAGTTAGCATTGTTATATTTTACATATTCCGTCGAATGACGCCGGGAAAGTTATAGTAGCACATTCCGTCGTGTGTTTCGAATATCTTACACACCTAGACTTTTAAACTGATAAATTTTGTTTCACAGGTAGGATTGAGATATACTTAATCCACTCCAGGGAGTATTGCATCCACAGTGATGTTCGATTAGCTTCAACTCATGCAGTCACTGATATTGTCAGTAGTCTACTACTGCTTCCCTGCATATGGCAATAGTATCACTAAGGAAGACATGTGCAGAATACAGCGAATTCAAAGCTCATCAATCAGTTTGGATTCTGCCTTAAAAAATTTTATCATGTTTCCCCTTTCCGTGAAGCAGCCGGGATGTTGCCCATGGAAGCCATGTGCAGGTTTTTGACGTGCTGCATGACTCACAGGGTACTGACTCTCCGTGAGCCCGACTATCTTTGCGAGAGGCTTTCTGTCCGGGATGAGGTCATACAACGTAGGACACGTCATGGTGGGAGGCTTCACTTTCCAAGCGTCACCTTGGAATTGGGAAAGAAAAGTTTCTCATATTTCGGACCCACATTGTACAACGGACTACCCGAGAGCCTAAAAACCGTTGCATCCAACAATACCTTTAAGATTGAGATTAAAAAGTTTTTAAAAAATATGAATGTTTAGTTGTAAGTGCAATAGGTTAATGACAAAAGTTGTTCTGAAAAAACTGACATGTATCAGAGAAACGCTGGCTAATAAAGACGTTTTTATTTATTTATTTATTTTATTATTTATTTATTTACTTGTGTATGGACTGGGACCGTGGCGTCGTCCTGTAATCCAGCTACAAGGAGGTCACGAATTGTGGATATTTATAGGCATGCACCTGTGGATGCGATACTCCCCGGTGTGGATTAACGTCCGCACTAGTGAGTACTACAACGACCCGGTGTACTATCTTAATAAACTGTAGGTCCCTTAGTTGCCATTGGCTGTATGGGCTATTAATTTACAGCTATGTCTAAGGAATATGTCGGACTTAGTCACTAACAAGACTACAAGATAGTGCCACTACAGTCATCTCCATACTTACATTCATTTGAGTTACATTCATACTTGGCTTAAAATACCTACATTCGTATGGTCGCCATTTCATAAGCGTAAAGTATGTAGTGAATTCGTTCAACGACTTAATTAGATTCAAAATTACAATTCCATTCGTTTGCAAAGACCATGCAGTCACTAATTAATTCTAACTGTTAACTACCTACTATTCTATTGCTACCAAACAATTACCAAACTGTAATGGACTGCTGATCAACAAGAATTGGAAAGTGGAAGTCCTAATATTGTGAAAACCATTCTTTCTCTAGTTTGTACAAACTTAATGATTTTGATCCTTCCTAAACTTGACATTATCTTCGTTGAGAGTAAAAACAACATAAAACAACATATTTTACATTTCAGATCTCTTTAATGAATCAAATGCACAAAGTAATATACTTGGTAAGTTATTTATTTCTTGCCAAACACTCCCCAAGGCAGCCCTGAGAAAAGTCCTCCAAGCAGATTCTGCTGTAGGGTCATGAGGTTGGTCTGAATCTGCGTCAGCTGATTTTGTGCTTCTTGTTGCTTCTGCATATACCACTCTTCCCAACGCTCCTGCTGCTCCTTTAGAATCTTAATCTTCAGCTTGACCTTCTCACAGAGCGCATCCTCCATGGGAGCCGAAGAACTGGTGTAGTCCCCGTCCTTTTCCTAGAGTCAGAGATTGTGGTAAGAGATCGGTTAATTAGAGTAGGGTACAGTTGAATTTGCAGTCTATAAGTATAAAATAGGATGATGGTTTGTTTGTATATTTTGTTTGGCAGTGATAAACTCAGACACCACTGGACCGATGGACACGAAATTTGGCACATACATGTAGAGTTTCGTGGAGTAGGTACACCATCAATTTCGTGATAGCTTTCCTGGGACCGTCTTAAAGGTACCTTAGGTGTGCTATTCCCTTCATATGCTGACGTCACTCAGATTGCCAACACCATTTTTCCATTTAGACAAATTATAAAAACAATCGTAATCAAATCAAAACAAATATATATATGGCAATACATCAGCTGATTTTTTGTTTGAAATCTATATAACGTCAGCAAATGACGGGAATAGCACACCTATGTATTTTCCTTCCACCATGAAAGGTACCCATGTCAGGGATTTCGAAAGACTCAGTTAGATTTGTTTACTAACATGAAAGTGGAAAATATTGAAGATGCATCAGCTGTTAATTTTTTTTATTTCTAGTTTATTTACTTTTTCTTTGAGTAAATATTTTTTCCTACAGTCACCCGACAAAGTTGGCTTCCTTGTACTGTTTATAGTACAGAAAGCTGCTAATTGCTGCATATTTATACTTTGCCGTACGGTTTATACTTTGCCGTACGGTTTATACTTTGCCGCACATCAGGATTCCAACGAAACAACACAAAACAGCGTGGTTCTATTATGCACGTAATCCGTGTACGCTTGGAAATAGGTTGGCAACACTTAAAGATAATAAGGCTACTATGAGCAGCTGATTGACTATTATAACTACGATTTAACCTGTCATTTCGTGTTTATAGTTTCGGTATTTCTGAACTTTCTGGACTTTTCTTTTAAACGTTTTTAAAACATTCCTACGATCTTAATAAACAAGAAAATACCTTTAAAGCATTTTTTTAGGCGCGGAAACCACTTCAAATTACAAAAACATACGGAACTATATTCTCAAAACGCGGAGCACATTTTTTGCCGAGGAAAAATAGCGGAGTGATACGGACCGCGGGTACTACTTTCTCTAAGGCACCATTTGTGTTGCCAGCTGAACCTAAAAACGTGTCGTATAGTGTTTGAAAGACTAATTATTTATATGCTATATAGTGACTGTAGGAAAAATATAATGTGTAACACGAGTGAAAAAGGCCTTTGCTGCACTCGAGATCATTCCGCATTCGCCTGCGGCTCGTGCGTAAACATTGCTCTCGTGTGCAGCAAAGTGCCACTTTCACCACTAGTTACACAAATAACTATAATTCTGCCCCACAGTTTAGTGAAAATAATAATACACACGAGATTTGGTAATTCTGAGCAATTACTTGGTCAACCCCAATTTTTTTCATACTTTACTACGGTCATCAGGAGGTTCTCAGAAAGCAAGAAACATATAATTCAAGGCCCGCAAGACCATATTAGGCCCCGTTTATGCACCAAGTGCGGTAGCGGTAGCGACAGCGGGAGCGATTTCTAACACCATTGAGTTAAATGGGGCTGTTTATGCACCAAGAGCGATAGCGATAGCGGTTGACCTCCCGCTGCGATTTCTAATTCGCCCGCTGTGTAGTTAGGAATCGCAGCGGTTGCTTGGGCTGAAGCCAGGGTTGCCAACTTGACCCACGCGCACGTGCACTTAGGACAAATAGTCGTGTTAATTATTTGGCAGAGTTTGAGTTGGCAAGACTGTGTCCCCCTTCCATTCTCCTTTAACCAACCGCTACCGCTATCGCTCTTCGTGCATAAACAGACTCATTTACAGCGGGAGCGGGCCCGCTATCGCACCGCTCCCGCACTTGGTGCATAAACGGGGCCTTACAGGTTGCCGAGCGATAAGAAGGTTCAAAGTTTAAGCGATAACAGTGGCTTGCGGGAGACGCGCGGAAGGCCAGTTGTGACAGTACCGTTATGGCTATGGCTAGTGGTTCCTCCGACAATCCTCCCGGCGATTACTGAGTTAATTAATAACCTAACTTAACCTAACCTAACCTAACCTAACCTAACTTATTATGTTTTTTTAGTCTCAAATACATCTCTAAGGCCAATTGTAACAGTACCGTTACGTTACGTTAGGTTACGTTAGGTTAGGTTAATTAATAACCTAACTTAACCTAACCTAACCTAACTTAACCTTGCGGGGCTTAAATTATATGTTTCTTGCTTTCTGAGAACCTCCTGATGACCGTAGTAAAATATGAAAAAAATTGGGGTTGACCAAGTAATTGCTCAGAATTATACATATATATGGTAATTCTGACAACAATATAACAATATAACAATATAATAACAATATAACAATATAACAACAATATAACAACAACAATATAACAATATAACAATATATAGGTTAATTAATAACCTAACTTAACCTAACCTAACCTAACCTAACTTAACCTTGCGGGGCTTAAATTATATGTTTCTTGCTTTCTGAGAACCTCCTGATGACCGTAGTAAAATATGAAAAAAATTGGGGTTGACCAAGTAATTGCTCAGAATTACCCGAGATTTAAAAAAAAACATGACTAAGATTTTCCTGTATAATTAACAAGGCTAAGTGTGCGTAACTATTTGTATAGTAGATTTCGAGACCCACATTAAGTTATTCTCTTAAGGATTCTTGCCCCATTGCGAAGCACGGGCAGAGCAACTAGTGGCTATATATAGCCACGAATACTTCTAGTATTCATGTATGTAGCTAATGAGAAAAATAAATCTATCTTAGGTCCTTTTTATACTGGGTAAGCTACCACCAACCACCAATTTTGGTGGTTTTATATATTTCATATTGTACTCCTAGTGAGATGGCCAACCTATTTCTGCTATGAAAGGGGTGTGTGTTGTAATATTCTAAATAAAGCTAAGTAAGTAGAACTAGATTAATACTGTAATACTTTCTTATGAAATAGCGACCATACAAAGTAGGATTGATAGCTGCGCACGGTCCGTGTTGCTTCCAATGAAAGTTCGATTGTGACGATCATGACGGTGATTCATTAGGTAGGGTCGCCCCCTACGAGCATGATCTAATGAACTTATTGCATTTGCACACCGCTAATCGTCATTCACACTATCTTTTTTATTCACCTGGTATGTCTCCCTGATGCACTTGCCGTCCACAAGATGTACAAGGACTCCATATTCATCACTGAACCACTCGTCTCCCACCAACAGCGTCTTGTTCAGGTTGATGACCGAGTGAGGGCGGCTCTTGCAAGGGAACGAGATGAGTTTGTGCAGACCGTTGCCTGTGATGGTCAGTCTAGTCTCGCAGTCCCCGTTCACGTTCACTTCCTTCAGCATGACGTGGTATCCGTTGGCTGAAGACAGCGTGTTGCTGCTGCTCGCCACGAATGTGTCTCCTGGAAGAAAAAGTCAAGTGATGTGATACTTCAGAAGAAGAAACTAAGTACATAGACCCAACATCTCTTCTATAGTTGGGAAGCTGAATTGTTATTCTACTCATTGATAACATTGATAAGCCAAACAGAAAATCACCAGTTTGAACATGAAGAAAGTAGGTAGATTTTTGATTGGTGGAACAAAAGCTACAAACTGTCCTTGGTCATTGTCACAGAAGCACCTTCTTTTAGTAACAAGGCTACAAAAAACATTTTACTCGTCCCATTTATATCTTTCATTCTTGTTTTTGGTTCCAGTAATGTCTTGAGTTTCTTCCTCATGTAAAATATTTACTATTTATGATGAGTGGAAAAATTAGATGAAATTTACTGTACATATACTCGTTCTTTACTGAGAGGCACAATGTGTTCTATTAGGTTATATTTGATAAGATGCAAGGCAGGCCATATAAGGGGTGTGGTTGGATTATAATACTAAGTTAGGTTAAAATTTAAATTGAATTAAATTAGTTAAAAATTGCATAGGCCCAAACTAAATTAGGTTATTATCTGGTCGAATGGATAGCAATCGCTTTATATATGTAGAAAGGTATGGAAACCCACTAGACTAAAAACAAGTAAAAATAACATTGCAGTATTTCAGGTGACAAAAGTATAGCAAGTTATATTGCAAAGTACGTACCAAATCACTGTTAGTTTATTAACATCAGAATATTAGTGTGAATGTTTCAGCTTAAACCATGTTGAGCTACAATAGCTCTGAAAACGTAATGCTTACTTTTCTCATTCGTAGCCCCATCTGTTGGTAAGCACGTCCCCACGGACAGACATGCGACCTGTAAAATAAAAAAATATTTTATTAAAAATCCAATCACACAAATTTAAATTTGCCTAGTCTGTAGGTTGTGTCTAGGGTATATTACACATAAATGTAGGAAATTACGGTCGAAATGATTCAATCCAACAACAGGTATTATGATTAATTAAATTACATGAAATAACTAATTTCAAAATGATCAGATTAAAGGATAACTGATATTTGCGACGGACGTGTTACTGATGTCGTGTTAATGTTAATGTCTGCTAACGACATTTGAATTACACGCTGCAAATATGATGTCATGATTACATTAACCATTAACCATGGATGGTTACCCAACTACGAATTACATTCAATTGACTAAATGTAGAAGGTTGTTTTTTGTTATTTGCTCGCATTTAACTAGTTACGTTGCATTCAAAGATCTTAGATAAGTTTCAGATTATTCAGAATTTCATTGCAATATTAGTGACTCTAGTGTGTAAAATTTTTTCGATGAAGAATAATTTAACGAATCCCACGACAGACTCATTAAAAATATTATTTTGCAGTTTACCATTATTTTGGTGATTGAAACGCTCTTTTTCTCTGACAAAAACCATGGACAGTTTAGAAATATTTTTCTTCAAACAATTTTGTAAAAGTATCTTAAACATAAAAAAAATATTATGTACAAGGGACGATATTTCCAGATCGTAGAATAGCTCCGGCCGAATATGCGTACATAGAAATACTTTTGGATAATTAAGTCAGGGTTCATTGAGGACTTCAAAGTGGACAATGTAAGATTTCATTTTCTGCTGGGAACATTTAAACAGAGGTCTTACTCTTGCCGCACATTCATATTTTAAATTTGAATACTGACATTATTTTAACATTTCCATTTATTGAAATAACTCAAAGTGGTATGACTAAATATTTTGACATTTATTTGCCATATTTTATGGCAGACTGGAAGGCCAACATAATGTAAACAATGTCCGAATAGTATTTAAAACTAAAAAAGTATAACAATGGATAAAACTTGTCAAAAGGTGGTAGTACATTATATCCCTTATCGCAGATAAGTAAAATAAATTACATTTATCACATATATTTCCTCTTTGCATGAACAGCTGACTACTGCCAGGGGATATATATAATTAAGTATGCAAAGTCAATGGTATCGACGCAACTTTTCCTGTAAAAGATTATAGTCAGATTTTAATGGTATAGAAAATAAATAAATAATTTATGGGAATACATTTCACCTAACGTAATCTATATATTTAACTAGCTGTACCCGCGGGCTTTGCCCCGTTTAACTTCATAAGTATTCGCATGGCTCATTCACGTCCTGGTTAAAGTTCGTTCGCTACGCTCACTCACCTTTAGGTTGGAGCTCGTTCGCTGCGCTCACTTGCCTTCAGGTTAGCTCGTTCGCTACGCTAACTCGCCTCCAGGTTGAAGTTCCTTCGCTACGCTCACTCACCTTTTGGTTGAAAATTAGCTGTTGTCATAAATAAAAAAAAAATAATAGTGCTGCACCCTGTTGGTAATCCTTGTAACTTTTATGCTATTGAACATCATAGAACAGAACCAACTTGTTTAATTGAAACAGCTGTTAAGATTCATTAATTCCTTTTAAATATGAAAAATCATAAGGTTAACATGGGGAACTACAGAGGCACTGGGGCGGAGCCCGAAAGGATTTTTGAGATAAGAATATGCTTTAATGTTAATCGGGAATGTGAGCTTTCATCATGCCAAATTTCAGCCCAATCCGTCCAGTAGTTTATGCGTGATTGAGCAACACACACACACACACAAACACACACACAAACTCACAAACTTTCAGATTTATAATATTAGTAAGATACGCTAGGCATATTTTTTTCATAATTGTTTTTGAGCGGTGGTGCTACCGATCACCATGTCCAAGGTGTCGTTAGAAAGGTCTTAGCATGTAGTTTTGCCATCAAACAAAACACTTTGGAATTCCATCAGGGCTCTGCCCCAGTGGCCTTCAAAGTTCCCATGTTAGGGAGAAAATGTTTGTTTACATTTGAACAGATGAATACTTTGAAATTGACACTAATATTTGAAACAGCTGGTTATACTAAGGATTTATAAGATTAGTTCAAAAGATTGATGTTTCACTGTTTTAAAACAGTTTTTATTTGCACAATATCAAAACATAACCAAAAAAAAGTTTGACATAATGGAGACTATAAGACGTTGACCAGGACGGCCAATAGGAGGAAGCCGACGAACTTTAACTGGTAGACACGAACGAAATACAGTACAAATAATACTATTGTCGTTGATAGATAGCCGATTACAGCAAACACCCTTCCGTGTTGGGTTTAAGTGTGCTCAGAACTCTCCAACAGCCGCCTGAAGATTTCACATTTAATTTAGGACTGTTGGATAATCGCTGCATAAGCTGTTGATTTTGAAAGACAAGGAGGCTGGTAGGACTACATCGGAAACAGAAGAGAGGAGATATTAGATGAGTGGCAAATGCGTTGGGATCAGAGTGTTTTATGTTAACGTTCTAAAGGTAAACGTTCGGATATATACCTAACATCAGAAAGAGACTGGAACAAGATTAGGAGATGGGCCATTATGAAACGCAGTTTGTCACAGGACATGGACAATTTCAAGGCGAATTTGTGGAGATTTCCCCTGGTAGAAGAGGAAGTATGTAGATGTGGAGAAATAAAAACCACGAGTCACATATTCATTTTAAAGACACCAGAAATTATGACTGTTATTCGTTTTAAAATAACGCCTGTAATACTTAGCAATTGCTCGAATCCGAAAAACAGGTAAACTAGTCCCCTTTACTTTTTAAAATACATTCTTGCTAAGCAAAATACTTTTTCCCTTTCATGTAATAAAACTGTCTAAAAATCTTTCTAGAAACTGGTTATGGTTCTATCTATTATAATGTGCCAGTAATGTAACAATCACATAAGACCAATATGTGATCGTTGGTCTTATGTGATCGTTGGTAATGCAGTAATGGTACAGTCGTGATGCTATGTATCTGTGTTGAGCAACGGAGACGTGTCTAATAACTATGCTATTCCACGAACTCTTTGACAGACTGGTACAGCTCAAATCAATCAAACTTTTGAATACTGAACAACTAATTTTTACAGGAAATATGGAAACAAAACTCAATAACTCATTTATTTATGCAAGTAGAGACATATTTACATGCATTGCTTACAATAATGAAATTAACTAAAAACAAATAGTAAACCACAACATATTTAAATAGTTATCGTACATCTTAAAAAAATATGTTGGTTTGGGGAAATATTCTTTTTTGATATAGAAAAATAATCTTATATATTAAAAAAATTTGGTTTTTCTTTTCCGAGTTCGTTTGGCTCTTCTACCCGACCGATTTTCATGATTGAGGTCTCAAATTGAAGGTATGCACGCTCAGATTTGCCATCAAGCATCGGCATATATTTATCTATAATCCTACTCGGCTTATACGTAAAAGAAATTTGCTCCCCATGTTATTCTTATGGGAGTTAAATTTGGTTTATCTTTGCCGAGTTCGATTGGCTCTTCTACCCGACCGATTTTCATAATTGAGGTCTCAAATTGAAGTTATGCACGCACAGATTTGCCATCAAGCATCGGCATAAATGTATCTATAATCCCACGCGGATTATACGTAAACGAAATTTGTTCCCCATGTATTTCTTATGGGAGTTAAATTTGGGGTTTCTTTGCCGAGTTCGTTTGGCTTTTCTACCCTACCGATTTTCATGATTGAGGCTCGAATTGAAGGTATGCACGTACAGATTTGCCATCAAGCATCGGCATCAATGTATCTATAATTCCACGCGATTTCTACGTAAACGAAATTTGTTCCCCATGTATTTCTCATGGGAGTTAAATTTGGGGTTTCTTTGCCGAGTTCGTTTGGCTCTTCTACCCGACCGATTTTCATGATTGAGGTCTCGAATTGAAGGTATGCACGTACAGATTTTCCATCAAGCATCGGCATCAATGTATCTATAATTCCACGCGATTTCTACGTAAACGAAATTTGTTCCCCATGTATTTCTCATGGGAGTTAAATTTGGGGTTTCTTTGCCGAGTTCGTTTGGCTCTTCTACCCGACCGATTTTCATGATTGAGGTCTCGAATTGAAGGTATGCACGTACAGATTTTCCATCAAGCATCGGCATCAATGTATCTATAATTCCACGCGATTTCTACGTAAACGAAATTTGCTCCCCATGTATTTCTTATGGGAGTTAAATTTTGTTTCTCTTTGCCGAGTTAATTTTAATACTATTTAAAGGTTCTTCCAAAGGAAGAGATAGCATATACAATACTAATAATAACTCCGATGAAGTAGGCCTACGTATGGGGAATATTTTATTTATTGAATGATCAACTAAATGTGTCAACTAACGCAATTAAAATCATGATTGTTTTTACACTTATTACTCTTTAAACAATGCTAAATGCTCAAAATATGTATATTTCACCCAATTTATCGCAGTTAGATGATTTAGAAGCCTTGAAAGTAACCGTCGATTTCGACGGGTTTCACCTAGTCTATATTAAATTCCGTAAGGGAATTGGTCCCTACGAAATATGTCGAGCTAGGAAAAAGGTAGCATGGCTGTTGAGGATTCATTTTTAAAATATCAGAAGTGTCAAAAATTACACCTGCTCTGCTCCACAGGCCGTCTAGTCATTTTAAAATAATAGAAGTAACAGTGTTTCTATAAAAGCTGTTTTAAATATACCAGCTGATACAAAACATTGCGTATTTGTTTGTTTATTGAATGTACTGTTCTTTTAGCGAATTTCCCATATAGGGAATAAGCTATTACCGTAGTACTCATGGTAAGACCTGGACGCGGGACCAATTTTTTTTTCGTTTTGAGGTCCCTAGAGGCCAAAAACACCATCCGTTCAAA